ATACAATCAGAATGCTCCTTAGACACCAGGTTGGCAACATTTCATCTCTCATACTTTAGACATAAGGAGTATAGTGGTTACGAATCAGGCTGCGAACTACAAGGTCAGCAGTTCGAAACTACCAGCTGTTCTGCAGGAGAAAGATGAGGCTTTCTGCTCCCGTAAAGATTTACAGCCTCAGAAACCCTGTACAGGGTCACTATGAGTCAGAACCGACTCCACGGCACATAACAACAATAACAACTTTAGACATGTCATCAGGAGGGATCAGTCCTTGGAGAAGGACATAGTGGAGGGTCAGTGAAAAAGAGAAAGACCACCAACGAGAAAGATTGACATAGTGGCAGCAACAATGCAATTATTTTTGTTCTTTTGTGCATAGGGTCGCTATGAACTGGAACCAACTAGAGAGCACCTAGCCGAGTGGTTACAAATCGGGCTGTGAACCTTAAGGTCAGCAGTTCGAAACTACCAGCTGCTCTGCGGGAGAAAGATGAGGCTTTCTGTTCCCATAAAGATTTACAGCCTCGGAAACCTTGTACAGGGTTGCTATGAGTTGGAACTGACTCCACGGCACATAACAACAACAACAACAACAACAGAGTACCTGACAACATGAGAAGATTTTCAGATCCTTCCCTTACCTGTCATTATCTGTGATTCTCTGTTAAGGAACTAGATCATTCATTTGGAGAGATTTCTTATACCCTTTTCACAAGCATTATAATTCTGAATGTGACTCCACGATACTGTTAAAAAACCCTACATAGGAATCCTGATCCTCATCCAGAACATTTTGAGGTGGGAAATGTCCAATGAAAGGACAAGCAGACCAGCTTAGAACAGCTAGAAAAAAACAGAAGCCAATTCTTGAAAGAAAGACCAGCAGGAAAAAACAAAAAAACAATAACAGCAGTCTGATTGACTACTACAAGAACAAGCAAGTCGTTTGCCCGGGAGCCATCAAGGCAAGTGTTCAGGTCCTCTCAGGGAAAACCCCCTTCCAAGACTAAGATTTAATATACCTGCAGGCCTGTGGTCCTGCTGCTGAGCACGTTGGTCACTGATAATTGGAAGTGGGGAAAAAATAGCAATGGAGTTGTGAGCTAAGTCCGACCACATTCAATAGACTCCTGTCAACCTGGGTTGAGACAAGGCTGGCCAGCAGTATGGCAAGACCTGGGGTCTCCTGGAACCAGGGACAAGGACATGGCCACAGAGGACTAGAGCAGAGAGTGAAGGGTCCAGCTGATATGAAGTGAGGGGAGATACACAAGAACACCCATACTTGCAGATAGTATCCATTTGACCTAGCTTCAATGGCTGGATGACCAGAACTCGACTGGAGGAAGAAAGAAGAAAAAAAGAGTCATCCACTACAATTTGATGAACTTGTGGATGTAGTAGCTCAAAAGAGGGAACAAATCTTTGCAGCGAGGATCTTTCCCACCTCTTCAGTACACAGGGATGACAGGGATGGGCAACTTAGACACTGGCTATCCAAAATTGGGGGCTTACAAAGGCACGAAGTGACTGGCTTACAACCTTTTAAGAGGGAGCCTAGTTTTAGAGGGTACGGGGGAAGGTAGAATCTTCACTGAGTGGTGTCCAACCTGTCTAGATGGGGCTGGTGAAAAGAGATGGGGATAAGACTTGTGTGGTACAATAGTGAATAATTGCTATCAGGACTGATTGTGAGTGTTGCAAATGTAAAGGTAAATGTTTTGTAACAAAAGGAGTGTAGTGGCTGATCTTGCAGTCCAGGAGCAAAGGATCCTGGGACCATCAAGGAAGAAGAGTGGAGAGCAGGACCCTATCCAGAGAAGCAGCGACACCAGAGATGGAAGTAAAGATGATAACATGGAGAGATGGAGCAGCTGGGGACTCTGGACTCTGGGAGGGAGAAGGGCTGTGTGCTGATGGCCAGGGGGCAGGCTTGCGGGGTGTCCCTTTGGCTGTTTGATGATGCATGCAGGAGATTGTGATCATTGCAATAAAACAATGTAAGATAGGATGAATATAAAGCTAATGTTCTCCCATGTAAACTGTCACATAATTCACAATAAAAACTTAAAAAAAAAAATTCCATTAATAGGGAAGTGCCAGAAATTTAAGCTGGATTCAGAAGAGGACATGGAATGATAGATATTGATGATGCCAAGTTCATCTTGGCTAAAGTAGAGAAAACCAGAAAGCTGTATACCTGAGTTATATTGAATATGTGAAGGCATTCAAGTATGTGGATCATAAATTATGGACAATATTGCAATAAATAGAAATTCCTGAACACCTAAAAAAAAAAATAATAACCTATATAATATTTCAATTTCAACTATATTGAAATCTGTTTTTGTTTTTGCTTCTGTTGTTGTTATTGTTAAGTGCCATCAAGTCAATTTTGGCTCATAGTGAGCCGGTATAGGGTTTCCAAGGAACAACTGGAGAATTTGAACACCAACCTTGCAGTTCAAACCGACCTTGTGGACCAAGCCAATCTTGCAATCCAGTGCATTATTCTATAGAGCCACACCAGGACTCCTTTACTTCTATACACCTCCTTAATTTTGCTAAAAGAAAAAATTCCAGAGCAGTGCTCCAAGTCTACTATTTTCCCATGTACAGCATTTAAATCTGAAATTCCCAACAGAGGCTTCTATGTCTATAAAGTAATTTTTCCCACAGTAAATGGTCTACACACAAAAATTAAATATTTTCTTTTTCTATCCCCTGAAAACATATCTATTCAAAATCAACTTCCACATATGGTCCAGTAAGAAGGAGGCAAAATGTCATTTTACCAGTTTAGTGTTTAGCAAAACATAACTAATTATACTCTAAACCAAGGGTACTTAATCTGGAGCCCATAGCAAGAATTGGAGGAGTTTATTACATGAATAGGAAAACGATAGCATTAGTATCATTGATGTCGAAATAATTTTTAACATTGTCTGCAATCATGAGTGTAAGTAACAAACCACAATAGTAAAAGAAGTAATTATGACCTGATCACCAATAAAAAACTGTAGATATTTCATGTCATACTGTTGTCGTTAAGTGCCTTGAGTCGGCTCTGACCCATAGTGTTCCTGCATACAGAACTAAACACCGCCTGGTCCTGAGCCTTTCTCACAGTTGCTGCTAATGTGCTAATCCATCTCTTTGGGGGTCTCCCTCTTTTATGCTGTCCCTCCACATTACTAAGGTATGCATTAATATTCTCCTTCATCACCATAACTCAAATGTATCATTTACTCTACGGTGTTCCTTATTCATTGTTGAAATTCACATGCATATGTTGTTGTTGTTGTTGTTATGTGCCGTGTTGATTCCGACTCATTGCGACTCTGTACAGGGTTTCCGAGGCTGTAAATCTTTATGGGAGTAGAAAGCCTCATCTTTCAGAACAGCTGGTAGTTTCGAACTGCTGACCTTAAGGTTCTCAGCCCAATTCGTAGAGGTTACAGGAAATGCCATGACTTGGGTCAGGTACACCTTAGTTCTCACACTGACGTCTTTGTTCATGAACACTTTAAATAGGTCTTGTGAAGCAGATTTTTCTAATGCAATGCGCTGTTTGATTTCTTGACTGCTGTTTCCATGAGTGTAGCTGGTGGATTCAAGCAAAATGAATTCTTTGACAATTTCAATTTTTTCTCCATTTATCATGATGTTATTTATTGGTCCAGTGGTGAGGATCTTTGTTTACTTTACGTTGAAGTGCAATCCATACTGAAGGCTGTGGTCTTTGACCTTCATCAGTAAGTATTTTAAGTCCTCTTTGCTCTCAGAAACCAAGGTTCGATTATCTGCATATCACAGGTTGTTAATGAGTCTTCTTTGAATCTTGATACCATGTTCTTCTTCACATAATCCAGTTTCTTGGTGTATTTGCTCAGCATACAGATGGAATAAGTGTGGTGTAAGGCTACACCCTTAGAGCACAGCTTTCCTGATTTAAAATCACTCAGTGTCCTCTTATTCTGTTTGAATAATTGCCTTTTGGTCTATGTATAGGTTCCTCAATAACACCATTAAATGATGTAGAATACTCATTCTCCACAGCACTGTCCATAACTTGTCATGATCCACACAGTCGAAAGCCTGTCAGTAGTCAATAAAGCACAGGTAAGCTTCTTTCTGGTATTCTGTGCTTTCAGCAATGATATTCCTCATTCCAGATCCTTGTCTGAATCCAACTTGAACATCTGGCAGCAGTTCCCTGTCAATGTACTTTTGCAGCCGTTTTTGAATTAACCTTTTTTTGTCCTCCCAATTTTTTATTGTGAATTGAGTGAGAGTTTACACAGCATAACATAGGTTTTACACTGATCATTTCATTGCAATGATTGCAATACTCTCTGTGCATCATCATTTAACAGTATTTGCTTCTATTCCCTCTGTTGTTGTTTTTTATTTGGGGGGGGGGTGTGATTTACAGAGTCCTGGTGTAGTGCTGTGGGTTAATGTGCCAGTCTTCAAAGTCATTTGAAGTGCAAGATCAGCAGTTCAAGCTCACCAGCTGCTCCTCGGAAACCCTATACAAGGTTGTTATTGGTTGGAATTGACTCAATGATACTTAACAACAACAACAACAATAATGTACACAAAAACAATCAGGAACATATAATCATTTAAACAACCAAAGGACACATTCTGCAAGCCTGCCACCTGGCCACCAGCACCTGGCCACATGTAGTAATACCACACCAGGACTCCACATGTAATAATACACCCAGTTAAATAAAAACAATGTGTAAAATTCTCATTCAACAGCAATGTCTATATTACAACAAATTCTTCATGGTCTATTTCTTTTAATGTCACAATGACGAAGCACATCAAAACAGAACAACTTTTGTTGTTTTTTGTTGTTGTTTTCTGTTTTCTTTTTGCTGCTCTTTAATTGTTTTTGCATATGTTACTATAGGATTTGACATGAAATAGTTTAACTTAGACATGTGTTTTTACACCATTATCTAAAATTATATTTGAATTCATACCTGAGAAGACAGTAGGTTACAATCAATAAACAGTCCTTTCCCAGTCTTATATCTTTGTATCAATCCAGCCAGGATGGCTCCGTATGCATACAGACCAGTGGCAAGGTCAGTCATAGCCACTCCTGGGCGAACAGGATCTCCATCCTGATTTTAAAATTGGGTTGAAATACAGAAAGAAAAGAGAAAATTCAAATCATATATGATTTCTCAAATATAACAAGAATAAACAAAAGACAAAATTATATATACACCAAAACAAATTGACACTGTATAAATCTGGTGGTGGTGGAACTATGGTTATATTTACTATTTTTCTCCCCATATCTCCTACCAACCAAACTAAATTAAACAAAATAAAATCTTTTTTATTTTTTATCTGAGGTTATTTCTTAAAATAGTTTAAGTTGCTTATACTAAAAAATAAAATTTTTATTTTGAATTTATATGAGCTAATCTGTTGAGGAGAAAACTTTAAAGCAGTATTTTTTCTTCTGTTGCATGGGAAGCTCTCCCAGGAAACAAAGACAGGATCTCTGATCTACTCTCCTTATAAACATGTTGTTGTTGTTTTGGTAAGTGCTATCTGACCCATAGTGACCCTGTATGAGGTTTCCAAGGAGCGGCTGGTGAGCTTGAACTGCAGACCCATGTGGTTCACACCAACTTTGCAGTCCAGAGCATTAGCCCATGGCGTCACACCAGGACTCCTATAAACATGCTGTTGTTGTTGTTGTTAAGTGCTGTTGAGTCTATTCCAACCCATAACGACCCTGTGAGCTTGAACCACAGACCATGTGGCTCACACCGACTTTGCAGTCCAGAGCATTAGCCCATGGCGTCACACCAGGACTACTATAAACATGTTGTTGTTGTTGGTAAGTGCTGTTGAGTCTATTCCAACCCATAACAACCCTGTATAGTGTTTCCAAGGAGCAGCTAGTGAGCTTGAACCACCGACCTTGCAGTTCAAACAGCTTTGCAGTCTGTCGCATTAACCTACAGTGCCACACCAGGACTCCATAAACATGTTAAGAGCTGGCAAATAAACTACAGATAATTGCTAGGAGAAGTGCATCTGTCCACAGAATACTTTTAGTAAGATGTCACTGGTTTGGATTGCTAAGGCAAACAAGCCTAGAATCTATAGATTTATGGAACATGAGCTATGAGACTATCTGAGTATAAAAGGAAGAGGACCACAGCGTATAATCCTCTCTTCTGGTGAGATAACCCATGTACTTTATTAGGAATCTTGTTTATTGCTCTAGGTCTGCAAGTTGTTCTCTAACAGGACCAAAATGGATCTCTGAATGTCCAAGACCACTCTTTGCTTCTGCTGTGGCTTTTGATTGCTTGCATGCTTAAAATTATTAGTAAATCTTGATCATAGTTAACATCTCCAATTCATGTTGGAATTGCTTGATAATCCAACCCTTAGCCTATAAGCCAAAGTTTTACAACAGTGTCTCATACACAATAAACACTGTATAAAAGTTAGTTACCAAAATTATCGACATTATCTTCAGTCTTTGTTATAATTGACAATTGTTACTTTTCACTACCATGAGTTTTCTATGACTTTCATAGCACAAAATACCTAAAAACAAAAACAAAAAGAACCATGTTCCACATTTTATCAGCTAGACACATTCATTCATTCACTTCCTTATTTATTCATTCTGGGGCTCTTCAGGCATTTTCAGGAATTTCTTTTTCCTTTTCCTTAGCTCCTACATGTTGCTGGTGCTAAGTGTCAATGAGTTGGCTCTGACTCACGGAGATCCCATATAGGGTTTCCAAGGAGAGGCTGGTGGGTTTGAACCACTGACAGTTAGCAGTCCAGTGCTTATCCAACAGCACCACACCAGCACTCCTAGCACCTACATAAGCTATGTCAATCGCTTTACAAGAGTGATCAATAATACTACAATATCAAGAAAGAAGAGACTACAGTGGCTAAGCTTGTTGAGTTTTTTTTCCCTACTATACAACACAATTTAAAGGAAGATACTACCACAAAAATTGGAAACTTCTGGTATGTGTGTGTGTGGAAACTTTTTATTATGAAATGAGTGACGGTTACCTAGCAGATCATCAGTTTTATATATATATTTTTTAAATCCTACATACACTTTGTTTCATCTCAATGATTGCAATTCCCTCCATGTAGCAGCAGTTACCCACTTCCTCCCTGAGGGTCCTGCTCCGTTCTGCTCTACTTCCTCTCCTTTCTGAACTTCATCCTTAGGTAAACGCTGCCCTGTTGATTTTGAATGGCTGACCATTCTATGGCAAGCATACCTTACTAGTGTTATGTCCCTTCAATATAACCATTTACCACTTGGCTGAAAACTGGACCAGGAGGGTGAGTTCCTTTCTAGACCTAAAGGGTGGCCAACGGCCATAGTCTCTTACTAAGGAAGCCTGAGGGTTCCTTCAGTCTCTTACTGACCAGTAATCCCTTTCTTTATCATAACTTTGAGTTTTGTTCCACATTGTTTGCCACTCTATCTGGGCCCTTCTCATGTGATCCCTTTCAAAGCAGTGGGTAGTGGTAGTCAAGCAGCACCCAGTTCTTCTGGTCTCAGAGTCATGCGGACTGATATTAATGTGTTCCATTAATCTATTGGGCTAATTGATTCCAAGCATCTTCAATTTTCATCGCTTTTATTTCATTCACACATGGAAAGACCAATAGTTGCACCTTAGATGGCATTTCATGAGCTTTTAGGATCCCAATTGCTACTCACCAAAATAGGAAGTAGAATATTGTCTTTGTTATGATGACCATGAAACACCCTGAGTCCCCATTGTCAGCCTAACTTTATTACTGGCAAAATATATATCTTGAAATATATTTTGAGAGAAAGACAAGCGGGAGGACAGTGGGGAGGTGCTCACGTAAGAAAGCAGACGGTATGGCTGTGACAATATCAAGCAAGTTGTTTGCCTTGGATCCATCAAGACAAGAAAAGCTAGCCTATCAGGGTAAATCACTTTCTAAGACTGAAATTCAAAAGGAGCACACAAACAGACTTGTATGCTCGCTGGTGACCACCTTGGTCAACTTATTAATGGAAGTGGGGGAAATGCAGCAATAAGGATATTGGCTGAGTTTGACCACGTTCCATAGATACCCAATGACCTTGAGGTGAGAGACAAAAGAGGAAGGATTGGCTGGTTTGAAGTTCAGGGAGACCTGTGAACTCCCATGCCCAAGGACACTGACCTAGCCACTTGGGGCTAGAGTTAAGAGTGGCACGGCCAGCTGGTCTGAAGTGGGGGGGCTGGCGTGCAAGAATTCCCAAACTTGCAGACAATGCCCATTTGACCTAGATGGGATAGCTTGCTGACCAGAACTCAATCAGATGAAGATAAAGAAGTCTGGTACAGGGAGCAAGCGTAAATTGCTACAACTTGATAAACTGGAACTTTACATACGGGTGAAGTTACCCAAAATTCCAACTGAAAGGATTCTTCATATCAAGGATCAAGCTTGCCTCCTCAGTACACTGGGTTGATAGGGATGGGCAACTTAGACTCCAGCTACCAAAACTGGGGGGCTACAAAGGCATGAAGTGGCTGGATTACAGGCTTTCAGAAGGGTGCTTAGTGTCAGAATGAAGTGGGTAAGATAGAATCCCCACTGAGTAGGTTTATTCTTGTCCAGATAGGTCTGGTGATGATGGGAATAGGATTTTATGATTCAATTGGGAATGACTGTTATCAGGACTAATGGCAATTGTTACAACTGTAAATGTAGAAGGGGTGTAACTAAAAGGGGGAAGTAGTTAATCTGTCATTTCTGGAACTGAGGACCCTAGGACCATCAAGAGTGAGGAATATGAAAGGAGCAAGAACTCCTAACCAGAAAAGCAGCGACAACAGAAATGGTGACCAACGTGATGGCATAGACACACAGAGCAGCAGAGGACTATAGGCCCATGGACTGAGAAAGTCTGTGTGCCTGTGGGCAGGAGACCAGCTTGTAAATGCAGACATCTAAACAAGTATATATTTTCAATGTAGTATGTGTACATTAAAAAAAAAAAAAAAAAAAGTAATAGAGGTAATGACATATTGTTAGCTGATATGCATAGAGGGGAATGTTGTTGAATGTAAAACTGAAGAGCTCAGTTCACAACAAAAGCTTTTAGTGGCTTGAAGCAATAAATTTTAAAGTAATCTTTTTTTTTTTTTTTTTAATTTCCAAAAGTTTCTATTTCACACACTTAAAAAAAATGGTCAAAGTTCCTTTGGGAATTACTCAGTCACCAATACATAAATATGCTTTAATTCTTTCATAACATTGATTCTGATATTGTTGTTGTTGTTTGATGGTGACCAAGGCAGTTACAACTGATAGTGACTCTGTGCACAACAGAATGAAACACTGCCCAATCCTGTACCATCTTCACAATTGTTTTGTTTGAGCCCCTTATTGCTATAACTAAAATTAAATTTGTCATCGAGATTTAAAATTATTGAACTTGACCTATACTTATGGATGTAGTAGCTTAAAAGAGGGAACAAATCTTTACAGCAAGGATCATTCCCACCCCCTCTGCACACAGGGTTGACAAGGATGGGTAATGTAGACGTTGGTTATCCAAAATGGGAGGTGGGTAGCTGGGGCCACATAGGTACAAAGTGACTGGCTTACAAGTTTTTCAAGAGGGAGCTTAGTTTCAAAAGGTGCAGAGGAAGGTAGAATCTCCACTGAGTGGTTTCCAACCTGTCTACATGGGACTGGTGAAAGGAGATGGGGATAAGACTCCTGTGGTTCAAATAGTGATGTGAATAATTGCTATCAGGACTGATTGTGATGTGAATGTTGCAAATGTAAAGGTAGACAAATGTAAATGTTGCAAATGTAAAGGTTTGTAACAAAAGGAGGGGAGTGAGTGGTTGATCTTGCAGTACAGGAGCTGAGGACCCTGGGACCATCAAGGGAGAAGAGCAGAGTGCAGGAGCCTATCCAGAGAAGCAGCGGCACCAGAGATGGAGGCAGAGACAATGACAGGGAAAGACAGAGTCGCTGGGGACTCTAGACTCAAAGGGGGAGAGGGGCTGTGCGCTGGTGTCCCAGGGTCTGGCGTGCAAGATATACCCTTTGGTTGTTTGAATGGTTATATATTCCTGAG